AAGCATGTTTTGAATGCACAGACTGGGACGTGTTTTATAGTTCCTGCCCTGATTTAAATTAACTTACACAAACTGTGTCATCTTATATATCTTTCTGTGTAGACAGTAATATTCCCTGCAAAAAACATCACAGTATTCCCTAACAACAAACCATGGGTCACTAAAGAATTAAAAAGTGTTCTGAATAAAAAGAAACAATTTTTTTTATACAGGGAGTAGCCAGGAAAAGAAGGAAATCAATGGAGAAGTAAGGAATGGGATAAGGAAAGCTAAAATCATGTATAAGGATAAGGTGGAACACAAGTACTGTATAGTAGTGGGGATCTTCGTGCAGCTTGGAGGGGAATCAAAGCAATGTCCTCAGTTACTCAGGGAAGCGGAGACAGCAGGAAACCTATAAAAATTAGGGGAATAAATGACGCTGATCTCCCGTTTAAAAAATTATTACTTTTCTGAAAATATTTCTTGTTTGAGAGAGTCTCTATTTTCTCAAAATGATGTCACCATCAGTCAAGAGTGTGTCAGGGACCATTTGAATAAGGTCAACATCAGGAAGGCCCCTGGACCTGATCTTGTCTGTGGGCGGACACTGCGCTATTGTGCCGACCAGCTGAGCAATGTCCTCCAGCACATCTTTCAGATGTCACTAGAGAGTAGTGTAGTTCCCACTCTTTGGAAATCCTCCAAAGTGATCCAAGTTCCTAAGAAGATCAGCAAACCAGAGCAACTAAATGATTTCAGGCCTGTTGCTTTAACATCACTAATTATGAAGGTATTTGAAAAAATCGTTAAAAACCTGGTGCTATCATCTGTAGAGGGAAGACTGGACCCCCTGCAATTTGCCTATCGAGTGAGGAGGGGAGTAGAGGATGCAAAGCTTTTTATCTTGAATAGCATTTATAAGCATTTAGACAAACCAAAATCCCATGCCAGGCTTCTGTTTGCAGACTTTTCTTCAGCTTTTAATACAATGCAACCACATATTTTAATAGACAAGCTGCTGTGTGATTTTAACTTGCCTCACCAACTTGTTTTATGGATTTTAGATTTTTTAACTGTTAGAGAGCAGAGGGTATTTGTAAATGTTCATTTATCAGACTCCTTATTGCTCTCTACAGGATCACCTCAAGGGTGTGTCCTTTCACCCCTTTTTTTTAATATCATGTACACAAATGGCTGCAGAAGCACCCAGGAGAGCAGCTATTTGGTGAAGTTTTCCAATGACACTGCGTTGTTGTCACTCCTCCAATGTCCAGTATCTGACAATGGGAATGCTCTGACTGACTTTATCCAAAGTCCTTTTAGGCAAGTCATGCCACTCGGCCGCCATCTTGGCAACGCCTCCGGGCAGCTATTTCGGACTAACAAGACCAGGGCCCGTATATCCCTAAAGAATTTTTGTGCAAAAAGTGGCTCCTAGCGGCCAAATTCTAAGAAAATCCTCAGAGTCATGACGTTTTCTTAGAATTCCCCCTAAAAGTGACACGAAAATCCCAGTTAATGTAAAAGCTATTCCTCAAGATTCCTAGCGCTTAAAAGGGCTCCTAAGGCGAGATCTGCTAAGAGCAGGGAAGAGGACATTTAGTGGCTTAGGAGTTCAAGGAGTTGTAGGATATTTGTTAACAAGCCTTCATTAATAGACCAGCCAGCAATCACAGACATTGATAAAAGCTGAGCCGTGTTACCCTCGTTAAGACCACACTGAGTTGTAACGTTGCAATTTCTACTTCATTAAGGACAGCCCCTTGAGATAGGCCATCTTGTTTTCAATGGGGTCCATATGGGAGTGAAAGTACAAAATATGCCAGCTAGGACATTAATATGAGCAAATAAGACACGAATCATTATTTGAACAGGGTGTAATGAGCTTAAGTTTTCACATATTTTAGATTCTAATGTTAGGCTATAACCCCTACAGCTTACTATTCATTTTCCAGATATTTTCTTGAATGTGAAATATTATTTACAATTACAGTCTGCATAAGATTAGAGTGTATAATTATGTTTATTGATTTGAGGGTACATCCTTTGCTCATTATCACCAAAAGTTCATTTTCATCAAACTTGTAGGATCAACCAATCACGGCTTTTGAAATGATGACTCATACCTAGCAACGGGGTCAACCACACCTCTTCACTAAGATAGGATTTTCCATCCATTCCTTGCTCAGAGTTCACTGAAAATGTTCTGGAATCACTTCTAAGCTAAAACTCCTGGCAAGGAATTTTTAGGTTAAGTTAGGAGCTCTCTGAGAGGATTCTCAGAATCTTTAGGGATACGGGCCCAGGCTCCTATTTAAATGAATGGGCAGAGAGTCAGAACTGCACTTTCACTGGTCACCAGGACAAAAAAACTGCTTGTATAGAAACAGCAGTAAAATATTATAAAAATCGCTGAAAAAGTTTGATGACTTTGCCCCAAAATAGGGTTTAAAAGGCCTTTTTCCCCACAGGTTTTACGTTTACTACGCATGCGCAAGGGTTCTCGTCTCCGCTGTCGCAAACCTCAACTGTGCGCAAACAGTGGAACCAGACGATAGGCTTACATGTTTCCCGGCTTGACTGTTAAAAGCAGACGATTGGCTTTCCAGCGGGAGGGGCGGCGCATGTGCATACAACCGCCATCTTTGGCGTTACGGGTTTTCCCTATATAGTTGTATTGAGGATTGAGGAAGTGGCATGTCTCTATATAAATTGTCTCTGCTTTATCTCATGGTGTGATAACCATTTCCTTGACTTAAAAGTATCTAAAACCAAAGAATTAATTATTGACTTTGGGCGAAAAAGAGATACTGCTTCAGAGAGTATCATACATACTGTAATGTAGAGGTGGAAATTGTTTCATCATATAAATATTTGGGCACTGTTTTTGATGACCATCTTAAGTTTGATATTAACAGCGCTGCCATCGTGAAGCGGGGGCAACAGACATTCATATTCTCCGCAAACTAAACTCCTTCTCTGTCACGCCGGTCATCCTATGTAGAATTTTACAAGTCTTTTATTAAGAGTCTTTTAAGTTTTTCTTCTATCTGTTGGTTTCACAATCTGGCAGTTAAAGACAGGAATAGCCTGAACAACATTGTAAAAATCTGTTCTAAAATCATCAGTGTGAAACAGAGAGACCTTAATGTCTTCTGTAACCTACAAATAGTTCGGAAGGCAGGGAGTATCTTAGCCTCTCCGGGACATGCTTTGGCAGGTGCATTTTCTCTGTTGCCTTCTGGGCGTCGTTATGCGCTTCCTGTGTGTAAGACGAACCGCCACTCCGAATCTTTCATCCCTTCTGCGATCAAACTTTTCAACTCTATGTAGGGTTGTTTGGGGTTTTTAAATGTGCACATATTGACTGCTTGTATGTTGTGAATAATGTGTGTGATTTGTGTTATGTACTTTGTGTTATGTACTGTTGTATACATACTGCTCTTAACTAATTGCCCCTTGTGGGATTAATAAAGTTGATTGAATTGAATTGAATTGAATTGAATTAAATAAGAATTTAATTGAACTGAATTGACACGAACACAGCGCATGATGTAGTAAGCCGGATCCGGATCAGATGGTGAACCTGTGCCTTGGCACGACCACAGCGCATGATGTAGTCAGCCGAATCCAGGCTTTATCCAGTTCGTATCCAGATCAGATGGTGGACCTGCACCTAGACACGACCACAGCGCATGATGTAGTCAGCCGAATCCAGGCTTTATCCAGTTCGTATCCAGATCAGATGGAGGACCTGCACCTAGACACGACCACAGCGCATGATGTAGTCAGCCGGATCCGGGCCGTATCCAGATCAGATGGTGGACCTGTGCCTAGACACGACCACAACGCATCCCTTAAGTGTCAGCAGAGATTGTGTCAATTAGACTCTCCCCTTAGGCCTCATCGACACGACAGCAATCAGCACTGATCCTCAACAAACCCCTCTCCATACCAACGAATGACTCCGATCTTCAACCATTTGGAACTAAATAATATTCTGAATGTCCTGATCCAATCTGACTTCTGACCTATAATGCTGCCTAAGTCATAATCATACACTGTTCGTTCATTGACCAGAGGAGATCTGAGATTTTTCTTTCTTTTTTCTCCATTCTTCATCTTTCACCTGATGGAGTTTTGGTTCCTCACCACTGGCTTGCTTTTGGCTTGCTTAGAGGACACTTAATATTCAACAATATTATTGATCTGCCTGCATTGACACCATTAAATGAGAACTGAACTGATCTGGACGAGGACATCACCGTTTTCTCCAGAGCAGTTATACATATAAATGAACTAAATTACGTTTACAACAAAAATGAACCATCACTGAACTTACTTAAGTGGACTATGGCGCTATTTTCTTCTAGATCTGCTGAACAGCGGAAAGAAACTTTGTTGCATTAATTTTCCTGTTATCACTGTAAAGCTGCTTTGAAATAATTTGTATTGTAAAAAGCGCTATATAAATAGAATGACTTGACTTGACAATGGACTGAAAACTCGCATTTAGATTTGTCGAATGACAAATTATGGATTTTACCAAGATTCCGGCCCACATAAAAAAAAAAAAAAAAAATGTAGTTAAATTTCCATTCGTATGTACTTCACAATATGCAAGAAAAGATGTCTCCACTTTCAATACATCAAAATGTTATTATCTTTGTCTGACAATACTACAAGAATAAAGTTGTTTTCTTTTTCAGCATTCATGCACAACCTTACTCGTACAGTGTGAGTTGGTAACCTTGCTGAAATAGCACAGAAATTGCACAGTGTATGCCCGCCTTAAGCCTTGTCTGTGAAACCGGGGGAAACAATTTTTGTATTGTGTTGGTTCACTGCTTGACGTCCTATGGACAATTTACAAAACAAGTGAGCCACTTGGATCTAGGTTGCACTCTTTTGGTGTGTGTAATGCTTTTAATGAAACAAGTCTGGAAAATCATTAAGCTTGACAAAAGGGGTGGAGTCTCTTTAATTTCCTGCTCTAGAAAAAGGCACAGCAGAAGATCAACAAGTATTCTGGAGATTTCAAAGTTTTTTTTTTTTTTTTTACAATGGGGCTTTTGGTTTTCAGTCTTTCTGGATTGTTGCTGCTAACAGCAATTGACTTGTGTTTTGCACAGTGGTCAGGATTTCAACAAGGCCAGGATCCAGTAAGATTTCAGCAGCAACATCCACCAGTTTTAGTTTCTCAGCAAGCTGTCCAAGGCCCACAGGTATCAGCATCTTTTAAGCCTCCAAGGCCTACAATGAACTCTACTGAGGCTGATCCATGGAATCTTCTTCAAGAGTCTGGAAATACTCAGTCCAAACAACTAATGCAGGGTCCTGTAGTGCCTTTGATGTGGCGTTTTCCAATAATGCCAGAAGAACCTCAACAGCCAGATGTGCCTTTTGAGCTGCGTGTACCTATAGCTACAGAGAGTATTGCAGCACAATGTGGGGAGAACTTTGTGCATGTGGAGGTTAAGGAGGATTTATTTGGGACTGGTCAACTGGTGAATCCTTCATTCCTCACTTTAGGAGGCTGTGCAGTTGTAGGGGAGGATCCAGAAGCTAAAGTCCTTATCTTTGAATATGAGCTCCAGACATGTGGCAGCTCTCTGATGGTAAGTGGCTGCTAATGGGTCAACCCTAGAAACTGTAAAAGCCAGGTCTGTCCAGTAACCTGCTACTTGTGCTTCTTTCAGATGACTAATGATGAGCTTGTTTACACCTTCACCCTCCTCTACACTCCAGAGCCTTTAGTAGGAACTCCCATCGTAAGGGCTGATGCAGCAGCTGTTGGAATTGAATGTCATTATTCAAGGTAAAAACAAACTTGTCAAAGCAATTTTGTTTAATACTACATTCTTCTTAATCTTGTTTTAATGCTTCCACTAGGTTGCAAAATGTAAGCAGCAATGTGCTGATGCCCAGCTGGGTTCCTTTTGCTGCTACAAAAGTTGGAGAGGAAGTTCTGGTGTTTTCCTTGAAGCTCATGACTGGTAATATGCAATGTTAGAATTTCAGAAGTGGCTAGGGAAAGTTGCGAACATGGGTTTCATTTCAGATGACTGGATGTTTGAGAGGCCATCCAATCAGTATTTCCTAGGGCAGTTCCTGAAGCTTGAAGCTTCTGTGAAGCAATACAACCACGTCCATCTGCGTATCTTTGTGGGAGACTGTCTGGCTACTGCAGTCCCTGATGTAAACTCTTCTCCAAGATATTCCTTCATTGAGAACTATGGGTTAGTAGGGAATCTCTCCTTAAACTCCCGTTTGCAAATAGTGCCTAAAGTCTTAACCCACACCCTTTCTCTTCAGGTGCCTGGTTGATGGAAAGCTCACAGGCTCCACTTCCAGTTTCATGCGCAGGGTTCAGAATGATAAGCTGCAGTTTCAGTTGGAGGCTTTCAGGTTCCTGCGAGCTGATAGTGGCTTGGTATGCATTTTGGGCTATAGATCTGAGAGTTAAATGACCAGTAAGAGAACTAACTGTGTCCTCTTCTGTAGGTGTACATCACCTGTTCTCTAAAGGCTGTCATGGCCTCTACCCCGACAAGTCCAGAGAACAAGGCTTGCTCCTTCAATAATGGGTATTTCATACTATTTTAGACCTCTAATGATTTGAGTTGGTAAATGGGTAAGCAGTTTTCTTTCCTGTCTATAGATGGACTTCTGTAGATGACAATGACCAGGTGTGTATGTGCTGTGACTCCACATGTGGTTCCAGCAGAAAAGGACGAGCACTACCTGAATCAGGTAATGTATGAAATCTTGGTATTGCTCTTGCAGAAGGACTTTCAATTTCTCATTTAGTCTTTGTTTTCAGGCCTGGTATCAGAAGGGAAAGCAACCATCGGCCCCATTGTGATCGCTAACTGATGTATTGTGAATGGTGAGAAGTGCCAATAAAAGTCTTTTTATATATATATGTGAGTTTACTTGTCTTTTTGTAAATTTTTCAGTTTGCCAAGTGCAGGAATGCAAATTTTTTCACTGACTAGTGTGGTGGAAATTTTAAACATAAAATATATATTTAAACTAAGGTTAGACTAGCATCTAACATTTGAACAGAATGTACTGTACGAAACCAAGGGAAAACATTTGACTGTGTATAAATAACAAATATGGGAAGTGAAATAGACCGCTGTCTAAACTCGAAACCAAAAACAGAGTTTGGTTACCTAGTAACAAGAGTCTATGAAGAACCAAATTAAGTAATGTTTCTTTTTTTTTCTTCTTTTTTTTTTTTTGCCATACCTCCTTCGTTGTATTTGTGTCTTACTGGTGGGATTCTCAATGGAATATGTCTGAGATCCACCGGCCATGCTTATTGCTGTTTTTTGGGAGATTTCCTGAGAACTGCTCGGAAAGATCTCCTGGCCATAATTAAAGTATTTAGAGGACGTTTGCTGAGGCCTGTTATTACTGCCGCGCAGCAGGTCATTTTAGGGAAGTTAGCAAGTTTGAGTATAGGTATGGAACTCCGCTGGAGTATAGACTTAGCCGACGTCGATGAGTAGATGCGCCAGAGTATAAGGTAGTTAGGTTTAGGGAAAAAATCTATGACACTAGGAACGGTCTGCTTGCTTTCAGTTGTGAGCTTTAAGTCAAAAGCCTGCGTGCCCTACCTTTTACATATGTTTGGGATAGAGACCCAACTGTGCACCGCACTTGGCACAAGATTTAATTTAAGCAGTGGGTAATTTATTCACAAGCGACACATTCTGTGCAGAAAATTAATTCCTTGTATCAACTGAGCAGTACGGTGTATGTTACTGTGTAAGCCAGACCTATAAACTACAGTTTCAAATCTGATTCTGTAGATGTGAAATTGCCTGTTTAAATTGCCTCACAACAGGCCTATGTGCTTTTTGTAATGGCAAACATGCATGTTGGCTGCAAAACATGAGGGTCCGCTTACGAAAGTGTGCTATTAATATACTTAAATTAAAAGGGCATGTTTGCAATCTACTTACTTATCAGACATGTATTGAAAAATTGCACTTAAAGGGATACTCCACTTTTTTTGGAAATAGGCTCATTTTACAACTCCCCCAGAGTTAAACTGTTGAGTTTTACCGTTTTTGAATCCATTCAGCCGATCTCCGGTTCTGGCGGTACCACTTTTAGCATAGCTTAGCATACATCATTGAAGTGGACAAGACCATTAGCATTTCTCAAAAAAAAATGACCAAAGAGTTTATTTTTCCTATTTAAAACTTGACTCTTCTGTAGTTACATCGTGCACTAAGACCGACGGAAAATGTAAAGTTGCGATTTTCTAGGCTGATATGACGCAGCGCCTGAAAATAGTTCCGTTGTGTTGACGGACGGTAGCCTATTTTCAGGCGCTGCGTCATATCATTATGCCTGCTGCTCTCATGGTACGGCAGTAAAGTTTATTGATTATTACGCAGGAATGAGAGTATAGTTCCTAGCCATATCAGCCTAGAAAATCGCAACTTTACATTTTCCGTCGGTCTTAGTGCACGATGTAACTACAGAAGAGTCAAGTTTTAAATAGAAAAAATATTGAAACTCTTTGGTCATTTTTTTTTTAGAAATGCTAATGGTCTTGTCCACTTCAATGATGTATGCTAAGCTATGCTAAAAGTGGTACCGCCAGAACCGGAGATCGGCTGAATGGATTCAAAAACGGTAAAACTCAACAGTTTAACTCTGGGGGAGTTGTAAAATGAGCCTATTTCCAAAAAAAGTGGAGTATCCCTTTAAGTAAACTCAACGTGTACTGACGAAGGTCCAAGTATATGTGGCCTATACAGGTCCTTCTCAAAAAATTAGCATATTGTGATAAATTTCATTATTTTCCGTAATGATAAAAAGTAAACTTTCATATATTTTAGATTCATTGCACACCAACTGAAATATTTCAGGTCTTTTATTGTTTTAATACTGATGATGTTGGCATACAGCTCATGAAAACCCAAAATTCCTGTCTAAAAAAATTAGCATATCATGAAAAGGGTCTCTAAACGAGCTATTATCCTAATCATCTGAATCAACTAATTAACTCTAAACACCTGCAAAAGATTCCTGAGGCTTTTAAAAACTCCCAGCCTGTTTCATTACTCAAAACCGCAATCATGGGTAAGACTGCTGACCTGACTGCTGTCCAGAAGGCCATCATTGACACCCTCAAGCAAGAGGGTAAGACAGAAAGAAATTTCTGAACAAATAGGCTGTTCCCAGAGTGCTGTATCAAGGCACCTCAGTGGGAAGTCTGTGGGAAGGAAAAAGTGTGGCAAAAAACGCTGCACAACGAGAAGAGGTGACCGGACCCTGAGGAAGATTGTGGAGAAGGACCGATTCCAGACCTTGGGGGACCTGCGGAAGCAGTGGACTGAGTCTGGAGTAGAAACATCCAGAGCCACCGTGCACAGGCGTGTGCAGGAAATGGGCTACAGGTGCCGCATTCCCCAGGTCAAGCCACTTTTGAACCAGAAACAGCGGCAGAAGCGCCTAACCTGGGCTACAGAGAAGCAGCACTGGACTGTTGCTCAGTTTTGCATGTCATTCGGAAATCAAGGTGCCAGAGTCTGGAGGAAGACTGGGGAGAAGGAAATGCCAAAATGCCTGAAGTCCAGTGTCAAGTACCCACAGTCAGTGATGGTCTGGGGTGCCATGTCAGCTGCTGGTGTTGGTGCACTGTGTTTTATCAAGGGCAGGGTCAATGCAGCTAGCTATCAGGAGATTTTGGAGCACTTCATGCTTCCATCTGCTGAAAAGCTTTATGGAGATGAAGATTTCATTTTTCAGGACGACCTGGCACCTGCTCACAGTGCCAAAACCACTGGTAAATGGTTTACTGACCATGGTATTACTGTGCTCAATTGGCCTGCCAGCTCTCCTGACCTGAACCCCATAGAGAATCTGTGGGATATTGTGAAGAGAAAGTTGAGAGACGCAAGACCCAACATTCTGGATGAGCTTAAGGCCGCTATCGAAGCATCCTGGGCCTCCATAACACCTCAGCAGTGCCACAGGCTGATTGCCTCCATGCCATGCCGCATTGAAGCAGTCATTTCTGCAAAAGGATTCCCGACCAAGTATTGACTATTGAGTGCATAACTGAACATAATTATTTGAAGGTTGACCTTTTTTTTTGTATTAAAAACACTTATTTTATTGGTCGGATGAAATATGCAAATTTGTTTAGACAGGAATTTTGGGTTTTCATGAGCTGTATGCCAAAATAATCAATATTAAAACCATAAAAGACCTGAAATATTTCAGTTGGTGTGCAATGAATCTAAAATATATGAAAGTTTATTTTTTATCATTACATTATGGAAAATAATGAACTTTATCACAATATGCTAATTGTTTGAGAAGGACCTGTACTTGTAGCCAATCTTACAAGTTACATGGCTCGTGGCTCACTCTTGAGTAGCCGATTAACCCCCCCCCCCCCCCCCCCCATCCCCACCCCCACCCACAGTTTTACATGCATTCTTAACCGTTAAAAAAATATTGACTATCCCAAACTTTACATATTTCCTTTATACCCACACATATGAACTTTACAGGTGTCCTATAATTACTGAAAGGTGTTCTGTAAGTTACTTTTTACTTGCACAGTACTTTCTGGAAATGTCAGTTGGTTTAAAGTATCTAAAACATGATTAAAACATCATTCTACTATAAACCTGGATTAGTTAAGCAGATTGCTTAATGGTTAAATAATGTAGTCATAAATCAGGGCAACCAAGGTTAACCACTTTAAATTCAATATAAAAGTCTGATATACTGCAACTTTTACTTTCGCCCCACGGAGCTCGATCAAGTTTGAGATATTAGTATACTTACTACATAAATTATGCTTACATTATACTTATGATAAATTATACTATAAAATGAACCTCGAAGTATGCTTATTTTGGTGACACTTTATTTTGATGGTCCCTTTTGAACATCCTGTTGACTATAAGTGGGCGGCAGTGGCTCAGTGGTTCATGTGGGTTGTCTACAAACCGGTGGGTGTGGGTTGTGGGTTCATGTGGGTTGTCTACAAACCGGAAGGTTGGTGGTTCAATCCTCGGTTCCACCTGACCAAGTGTCGAGGTGTCCATGAGCAAGACACCTAACCCCAGCTGCTCCCGACGAGCTGGATGGCGCCTTGCATGGCTGCCGTCGCCCGTCGGTGTATGAATGAGTGTGTGAATGGGTGAATGTGAGGCAAATGTAAAGCGCTTTGGTGGCCATTGGGTCTGTGAAAGCGCTATATAAATGCAGTCCATTTACCATTTACCATAAGTAACTTTGCAACTATATGTCAACTAACTCTCATTAGAGTATTAGTAGACTGCTTAATATCCGCCAACTCTTTGTTGTGATGCTCCTCCAACAGACATTCTACTGATTATAAGTAACTTTGCAACTACATGTCAACTTATTCTATCCCTAACCCTACCAGAATACTCTACTAACACTCTAGTGAGAGTTAGTAGAGATGTAGGTGCAACGTTACTTATAGTCAACTGAATGTGTTAAAGGGACCATCCAAATAAAGTGAAACCCTTATTTTTAATAAGGGTCAGTACTCTTGTTTCCATTCTGGTGGAATCCTCATGTACCTTGGAAGACTAGGCACAGCATTATTTCTAGGTGAGATTTAAGTCATTCAAGTGTTTTTTTAATTTTATTTTTAAATTCAGTTCACAAAACCTACTTTTAACTGATTTTGTACATGAAGGGCAGATGTTTGTCAACTTTCAGTTCATGCAATAACTTGTTTGGATTTGAATGCAGGCAATTAAAAAGCTTCTTTAAAACTCATAAAATGTCATAAGGATATAATTGCATGTTGCATTTACTTGATCTAAATATAGTTAATACTTCAGGCAAAGTTCCAGAATCAAATCAGTGAGGCTGCAGATGTAATGTGTAAGTAACAGCTCTTAAGC